GTAACAATTTATAGTAAATTATTCGAATGGTCTTGAAAAAAAAAACTTGTCGTCGTGTTCGTTATAATAAAAAAAAATCCCTAATTAAACATGCTTTTTTTAATAAATTAAACATTCGATTTGAAAGTTTATGAAAAACGAATTTCAATACAGTCAGTGCCCATGTTATCTGCAGGAAGAAAAACATTTTTTTTCAGGAGGAGAAACCGAATAAAGCAATGTGATGCGTATCCATTACTGGATTGATTTTCATGGATCCCATTACGCCATCGTGATTATCACCATCACTATCATCTCCATATGCATAAGTTTACTTACATGTCTGTATGTTAGAAATAAAATTTAACCTATTCAATACTGAAATCTATTGATATTATTATATTTTATTGCAATAATAAAAAAAAACAATAACTAAGCAACAATATTACTATAAAAATATGAAAACATTAATAAACAAACAAAAAACGCTTCAATGTTGACATACATACACACATATGTATATTAAAAGAAAATTAATATTCATTAACACAAAATTGTAAAATTCAAATATATATATATATATATATATTTAAATCGAAAAATGAGACATTTTATATCAATCAAATATTGCCTTGATAGATAGTTTATAAACAATCAAATTTAAGTCTAATATTTAAGTACTTTCTGCTAAACATACTAACATATTTCTTAATTTTAAAAGTCATTTTTGAAAAAATAAAAAAAAATACATATACATATGTAGAATAGAAACGACAACTACGGCAAAAAATAAGAAAATTTAAAATAAGTATATAATATGTGGCATATTTTCGAATGTCAAACAATATGCCAGTTGAAAGCGTGACAAATGTGCTATAGTCAAGCAGTGCGACTAGCGGATGTCGCTGCATTCATTTGGAATTTGTTTGGTATTCTTAGGTATGCTGTTAGAAATTTAACTGTGCTTCCATTTGTAATCCTCTTCATAATTTATTGATTTCCGAACATTTGTAAATCAATGTTTAACCTCATAATGTTCGTGTGTAAATAGATTTTGTTATTTGTTGTTTTTGTTCTTAATCGTTAATTAATGTTTATTATGCTTGTATAAATGAATGATGAATCTCATTACCGTTGCCGAATAAAATAAATATATCAAAAATATATATTTTAAATTTATGAATGTGTTTAACTAAAGCAATTCATAAAAATTATATTCCTCAGTAATTATGATTACCACAAACATTGAAACGTTCATTAATAAAAAAAGCAAAACAAAAAACATGCAACTCATATTAAAATACTAAATACAAATTTCTTTAATTTAATATTTACAATTATGCAAAAATGTACACATTTTAGTTATGAGATGTAATTGAACTAAAATCTAAGCGTAATCTAATTGTCGTTACAATTGGATGTATTGAAACTATGTTTAATTATTGGCAAACATATTTTGAATTATGTACATATGTATTTTATGAATAGTATACACATTATAATTCATTTTTGTTCTCTTTTTTTCTAATAAATTTTGATTTGGAAATATATTTGTTCATAAATAAACAGTGGACGATCTTTGCATCCAAATTATACACATGGGCAAATACAAAATAAATATATATAATAATATGTAACACTTAAACAATTATATATGAAAATGTTTTATTTATAAGAAATGCTAAGAGTCAAACATCTCTGGCAAAAAGAACACCAACTAGTTTATAAGACATAATTGAATTAACATTAACATTAATTTAATAATGAAACAGAAATAAATAAAAAAAAAACATAGAATAAAAACAACTCTATGATGTAATTTCAAAATAGTTTTTTATTACGATTATTTCATGATATCTAACATCAAAATAAAAAATGAAACGTTCGTATTGATTACACGATGACACATTTTCCAACTTGAAAATCTTGAAACGATCGGGACCGCCACAATCTGAAAGCGTATTATGCTTGAAGAAACCCCCTAGCTCTTTTAAAACAAAAAGTGTGTAGAATTCAAGAAGACAACAAAAAAGTTCGGAGTCGCAAATCTAGTAAAAAAGTCAAAATTAGATGGGAATACTTTAAAATCAACACAACGGCCAATCATTTCTGGTTGCCATTTTTACTCGACCAAATTTCTCGAGTAAAAAGTTTACAAATTAAATTTGGTTGAAAGGTTCACCGGTTTTGTGGGTTCAGGACCGGTTTTCGAGTATAAGTTGCAAAACTTTTAAAATTAGTAGATTATTTTAGTTTCTGGAACGGAACTTTTTTTGTGCTCGAAGAGCGATTTTGAAATGATCCTAGCTTTACTATTAAAAGGTTCATTTTTTTTGATATTGTGGGCGTATCAACGGTAAGAAATAAAAACAAATGTTTTCACAATATATTAGTTTTATTGTCTAATTATATTCCAGATCAAATATTAACATATTTGTCTATAAAAATGTTATTGCATTAAATTAAAAAAAAAAACTCTAAACTGCAAATACAAATAACTTGGCGGGGTAATGTGGACCAGTATGTGTGGGTAATGAGGATCAGTAAGTTAAAGGTTGTGAATTGGTTGTGATAAGTTTCAATTTATGGCACTCTTGGATAACAATGAATGCAAAAATATATGGATTCATGTTTTGGAATAGCCCCCATTTAAGGGTACCTCTCCATTTGCGATATTTTGAAGGTCCTTGCCTCAATAACCAACTAAAGCACCTGCAATGTCGCATATTGAGATGATATCATTTCAGATAATAGAATACCTGCTCGCATATTAAATGCGCCCATGCTTTGGACTCGTCCTTATAAAAAGGTCCCACTTTTTTAATAGAGGTCTACATTACCCGACGTTGAATATTTTCATTTAAAAATAATTATCGGCTTCAAAAATGAATAAAAATCAAAAATCACCGATTGTAATTACAGCTAAACGAATATTTTTGTTAATGAAAACAGAACAACCACATAACTTCTTTATATTCGAGAACAACAAAGTGTTTGACTATTTTGCAAAAAACATTCGACTGTTGTGCTAAAAATTGCTCAAATCACACTTTTACAATCAGAGCTCCATTTTCTACTACTAGATCTTCAATTTTTTATTTATTAAATACCAAGTTTGATGTTTGTTTTCACTAATTATGAAAACATTTATCAGGCGGCATTGACATATTTCAAGCATTTTCATAGATATGGGGGGTGGTCCACATTAGACGCATAGTCCACATTATCCGAAGTTACTCTAGTATTTATATCGATGTCATAGCGAAATTCCATCTACGAATTTAATTCCAACGTATCGTATCAAGGTTCGACCTTTGTCACCGCCTACAACATCCCTTTTTAAGAGCAGATTTGTTTGTAGTTGCGGGGTTTATTCCATACAAGTTACAATATATTCTTCACTGGTATACAACTGTTATTGTGCAACCTATGGAGGCTAAGGAGGACAACATTTAAAATATCATAGGAACCACAATTAAAATCAATTAAAATGTGTGTCCGTCCGTCCGTCCGTCTGTCCATTATAATTTGTAAACACGATACAGGCCACAGTTATGGACCAATCTTCACGAAATTTGGACCAAATACTAAATTTTTGTCGGTTTTTCTCGTCGCTTCTGAGGCCGCAATAATGACACGAACATCATGAAATTTTACATGGAGAAGGAGATCAGGCCAAAGAATAAGCATGCCTGTTTTCAACATGCCTGCGGTCAATATTTAGCGGGTCAAATGGACCCTGACTTCTGTGTGAAAAATGACAAAATTTGTATTCTATAGCGTATATATTTACCCCTGAAGGACATATACCCGAGAAGTTGATATTATATCCAGATGAGTGGTTGACCTTCAAATTAATATCATTTATATTGTTGTATGTGCTCGGATGTGGGAGTTACACCTAAATATTTACAGGTATCTCCGTATTCGTATATTATTTAGTAACCCATTATCACTCTAGAGATCGGAACTATAGCGCTGATTATCCATGAGGTATTTTCGAGTCAATCTATAGACCACAAATGAAAGCCGAACATCACAACCTACCCACGGTGAAGGGAATCTGGACAATAGGTATACTGAATACTCGTAATATTCGGAAAATATGTCAGTATGAGGAAGAGGTGCTGTTTACCTCTAATCGGGCAAGAGGATGCAAATATCACGAAATATTGCTCAGGATCGGAATTAACATCCGTGGTAGTTGTGTAGGGTATCGTATGGTCGGCCCCGTCCGACTATACTGCTCCGCTCACTGGTTTCTATTTTAGAAGTTGCAATAAAACATTTTTTAAAAAGCTCATTCCAATTCAATATTTATAAATTTTCTATGATCAGAATACTCATAGAAAATGCCTTATACAGATAAACTCTATTTTAATAACCTCAGTCTTAATGCTGTAACGTCTATTAGTCTGAGAAACTCCTGTCTGGCTAGATTGTGCGCATCATAACTCTTGTGCGCATCATAACTCTCGGACCACTATAAAAAAGAGGGACCTTTTTATAAGGACGAGTCCAAAACATGGGCGCTTTTAATATGCGTAACACTCGTGTCAAGTCCGATATGACATATTTGATTTTTGTAGAATGACTCAGCAGGAATATTTAATGTGTTCCTTCCTTCTAATACCTCACTAAAAAAGTTCCACATTTCAAATTGACCCAAACTTCGCACAAAACAAAATTCTAATAAATCTAGATCATATCGGAAGATGCATCGTATCGTTCCATTAGACGACTTGATCCCTATTTAGATTGATTTTACAGAATTTGTTATTTTTTGTATAAATTGCCAAATGTAATTTTGGTATCTTAGTACATTTAGATTGTACTGTATTAAGTAAATCCAGTAGATGAAGATTCTAATGTGCATGCAGCTCAATCATACCATGAATGACAATTTTCAGTCATCGTAATTTATTTTTAATTTGACTTGGACTTTTAAAAATATAGTTTTTATTTATTTTAGACATATTATCCGCTCGAGTATTACAAATGAATTTCATATCATATAAATGCACTTAGGGAGTGAAATCTCCGAATGGAATACCGCGGGCAGAAAGTTTCTCCGAAATCCATGGACGCAAATAGGGTACATTTGCATATACACCGGGAATATTTTCTTCTGCACAACCGACACCCCATGCCACAATACCAGCCTGGTAGTAACGATCATTATTGCCGGGAATGGGACAAACCAACGGAGAGCCGCCATCGCCCTTGCAGGTATCTTTTCCCTTCTCTCCGCCAGCACAGATGAAACTTTCGTGCAAATTAAAGTACATGCCCAAACGAGTCTGCCTCAAATTGGCTTGGCACCTGTCGTTTGGCACAACGGGCAAATCGATTTTCTTCAAAATCACCTGGTATTGGCCATCGCGGTTAAATTTATCCTTACCCCATCCGGTAGCATAGCAGCGGCTGTAATCAAAGTTAGCATTGGGCTCGGGCAGGCAGATGGGACGAATGTTTTCTTGCCATTCGAATGGCTCCTCAAGAATGAGCAGAGCCACATCGTTGTAGAGGGCACCCTTGTTATACTTTTCGTGTCTTATGATTTCACGCACACGCTTGTCCACATGGGGCAAAATCTCATTTGTGTTCTGGGTATCCCATTCACCGCCACGTACGACTAACTGATTGGCTTCGCGGTTAATGACACAGTGAGAGGCAGTCAAGACCACATTGTTGGCAATCAATGAGCCGCCACAGTCATACAAATGGATAATTTCACCGGCAGCATCCTCTGTGCGCAGAATTGCCACCATCCAAGGGAATTCAGCGAATTGAGATTCATTGTCATTATCACCGGTAATTCTGTATCCTACACCATCCTTGTTGCGCCAACCACAACCACCATGCACTACAGGTGGTAGAGGGGGAATCACAGGTTGGTCTCTCTAAAAACAACAACAAAAACAAGATATTGGTACTTATTCAGTACAACACCAAGGCCGAGGAGGACGAGTAGGTTGTCAAGCAACTAGCTTACCTTGTTTGGCAGATCACAGCAGAGTTCATTGTACGCACAGACGGAATCGTCAATGCGAATATCAATGAAACCCTCACCAGATGTGCTAATGGCACCATCCACACACAGATGGCGCGGAACACATTCCTTGTCAAGGCCACAAGATTTGTATGCGCCGCCACTGGATGAACTGGTATCTACTCTATTGGCTTGTGTTGGGGTCACTTGGGTAACAGGTGCCGGTGTTGGTTGGAAAACAGTCGATGTTGATGTGTCTGGCTTGGGGGTAAAGACATTGTTAATTAAATCCTCCAAAGACAATCCCTGTCCTTGGGTGCCGACGGCCAACAGCACTAAGACCAACACAAAGCTGGTCACCTTAAAAGCCATACTTCGAGACTTTTTCTGTAAAGAAATCGAATGAAATTAGAATTTGTCGTCGTTTTTTTTTTGTCTTCAAATTTTACACGTACAATCACAGATAATTTCAACATTTAAATGTTTGACAATGAATTAGTGATAAGCATGTTTCGATTTAAAACTGGGGTGAGTGCGGTTATCATCAGCAGAGAATTTTGTTTTGTAAAATAACTATTAGTCGTCATGTCATTTAAGGTCACTAAATTTATTACAGTGCAGCCTTGTTGTTTTGGTATTGTGCCCAATGTGTTTTCAAAATGACTGAATTTTTTGTTGTAATAATATGCTGAATACGTTGGGATAATACAGTTTCCAACATTGCCATATTTATTGGCATATGGAATTGTAACGCGAAAAATGCAATTCCCATAAAGAAAAACAAATATAAATAAATTGATAATTGTGGGATTTTCCGGATTATGGAAATTGAGAGTAAACAATTGAAAATCGAACACGTGGCGCATCGCAGCCCCTACTAAACTTATCAATCTAGCATTTTAAGAACATAGAGTAATGTTCGAATGTAAACAATATATATATATATATATATATATGCTGTTACAATATAGACCAACAATTTTGTTTTAAATGAGTGTTGTCGGGTACCAAGAAAATTCATTTTTGGCTTGTAGCAACTTGCACTGCCTATGTGTCTTATACTTGCCGAGCTCGGAACACTTATCAATCTGTTCAAGTTTGGAAATTAACCCCATTCAACGATACAATCCGACAATTTTTTATGGTCATGTAACTTTTTTACATTTGAACCAAATGTGTTTAAGACCTTACTGAAACAAACAATACTGGTTCAGGTTTGTGTATAGTCCCTAAAAAATGGAACCGTACACTTTTATATTTTTATTATTACTTATTTATTTATATATTTTTGAATATCTTCCAATATAATGTTTATTAACTGGTTTTCGTTTTGGTATATGCAATGGTTTAACCCAATTTTTGGTTGGATGAGAGTGCTAGTCACATTTTAGCAAAATTGTCTGCCAATTATGGTTTTCAAGGGAAACAGTACACAACTTTCAATATATGTAGGTCCGGTTATGGCGAATGACCTATGCAACGGTTTTAATACCCTAATAGCCTAAACCATAAGGTGGAGTTATGATTGCATTTCTCATTGCATTGCAACATATCGTCACAATTTCGGTATAGGCCCATATTATTTGATATTTTGGCAGCATTTTTTAACCTAACCTAATTTCACATTTTCTCATTCTAAACCGAGGTCGGACCGTAAGCACAGCTGAGTATTAAGTTTGCCTATTTTATTTCTTTTAAAAAATTTACAAATGTACATACATATGTGTTCTAGAAAATAAAATTTAAAAATTTTGTAATATTATATGGGATTTCACATCTGGGAACTCCTGTCGCAATTTCTGATCTGATTTAGTTACAACAGCTGATAATTTCACTTTAAATATTTTTAGATGATTTGGGTTGGAGGACATATGTACCATAAACTCGTATACTGATTTTTCAGCCGTTTCCGAGATAATTTTTTTTAAATATGGTCTGATAATGGATTATAACCTATTCTCAGATTTACTGAATCTTTTTTGTTCAAAATCGGAGGAGTATTTATACGAACAGTGTGAAAAGAGAATTCTATGTATGAGAAGTTCCGAAAAAAAAATAAACCAAAGTTTAATTATTTGTACAAAAAAAGATCACCACTATTTTAATGACTATAAATGAAAATGCTGCTGAAATAAAAACTGCAAAATCAAAAATGTCGCGTATGTGACTCAGAAGAATCCTTCGCAAAAAAAAGACAGGCAAAAATTTGAAAGTTTAAAAGCGCTTATATTTGCATTTTTAAACTATCAAAATTTGGCTTTATATTTCTTATGTACGAAAAGAAAATTTACTGTTCAATATGTTCACACAATCCCGGCATACACAGAAGTTAGTATGCTATGTTTTGTATTTTAGTATGTAAGTTTAAAATAAATTAAAGCTTTACTTATGTTCACACAACTCGCAGAGTTTTCTTATTATTAGCAATGATGTCTAAAATCATTTATATTTGAAATCGCGTGAGTGACCACACTTTTGTGGCTTTAAAACCCGGGGTTCTCATTTTTTTGGTACCATTCAAATTAAACAAAGTGTTAAGGGTGAATTGTAAAAAATATAACTCCGTTTGATTTATTCAACATTTATTTTGCCTCCGAAAGTCCTCTAAGTGGCCGCGCCCATATGGCCACTATCTTTTGAGATAAAAGTCACAAAAGAGCGGTAACTCATGTGCGAAAATTTGTTTCTTTTTAAATAGAAAATGTTACCAATTTGATTTGGCCACAAGATATTTTATACTGTAATTCGTGACAAATGTGTGAGCACATTGGCAATTTCTTGCAGCAAGTTCGCCCAATATTCAGCAAAGTAACTTGTCAGTGGACACTTAACTTCAAAAAAAAAAGGGAAACCAATTCCTACACTTCTAGAAATTCTGTATTATTTAGGAAATCCAGAGATTTAGTGTGAGTATTGAAAATAATTGCATGCAATTTTTCCATAAATAACGATTTTTATGAAAAAACATCGCCTTTAAAGTGGCCACATAATTAAAACCTTGTGTGATCTTTTACTTTACTGCAGTTTTTTGAAAATATTTTTTTAACTCATTAAATTTGCTGATAAAAAATTTAAAAAAAAAAAACTGTAAAATTTATCAAAATGTTTGCCATAGTAAATGTTGTTTTAATTACGTGAACACCACTATATATACAATATAGTAACGAAAGTCCTATTGTCGCACATATACCTGGGCATCATGTTCTCGGGTGATTTTACTCATTTGCTCATTGCTGTCCACCAAACAAAAGACGCATGCCTGAATTGGTATCATTGGTGTCATTTACATTTATAAAATTTTATTGAATACGATTATAGAAGTATTTATGTGATCAACACTTTTTGCTTCGTTTTATTTTATTATTTTTATTTTTTTCTTTTAGGTAATTTTATATACATACATATTTGTCTCATATTTTAACAGAATTTGTCGTTTTATATACACACATATAATATTCTATTTTGGAACATTTGTCCCAATTTCAAATATTTGATAAGCCGAAACGAAAAAGGGAACAAATAATTTAAACGTGCAATCTTCAGTTTGACCTATTTTATAAAATATGATTTTGGAAAAATCCCCAAAAATATAAACAAAAATATTTCTTTTTAAAAAATTGATAATTTAGTTTGTGTTTCTGGCAAAACTTTTTAAATTAGTAAAGTAGAAATTGAAAACACATATTTTTCGTATAATATAATATATTGAAAGTTCTGAAATGAACGGTAAATGTCTACGGAGTGAAATTTTTGAAAAAAAAAAGCAACAACAATTGTAAAATACGCTTCGATGTGTGTGGGTGTATGTTTTTTTTTTACTAAAAGGCGCGTCTCATTATTAAGATTACTGACAACTTAAGAATTATGACTTTTTATAAATAAAATGCATCGATCTACAAGATGTTATGGAAATTGTATGCGGCTTCAATGCGATTATAATAAAAAATTGAGACAAATGCTAATGAAGTTACTCTCGAGTTCTCCATATTATGCGCATGTCTTATATATTAATTATAAGATTATGATACATTTTGATTTTTTTTATTTTTAGCAGCGAAAGTTTATTATTTTCATTTTTAATATACAGAAAAATATATATAGAGATAAAAGAAATTTCACCAAAAATATTTACTGATATCGATTATATAATATATGTATGGAAACGTGAACAGTCTTTTGAGAAACAATTTATTTTTAAATAAATATTTTTTTTTCAGAACGAAGGCATCGCCATTGAATGGTTTATAGAATCAATTCAAAAAAATAAAATCGCCGAAACAGCTTGTACGTGCAAAAGTTTTATTATGCACGGCAAAAGTACGAAGGCAAAAAAAATACTGGGTGAAATTAAATACAGCTTGTAAAATGTCAATAAAGTACACTCATCGATTAACTCCTTTATTTATGTTGTTTTTAAAATTCCTTTTTAATATGTATTACATTTTATAATGTTGAACGCATAACGGAGCTATTCTTTATTATTCAGAAAATATATTATAAATTTAAAAAGATTATATTAATATTTAAGCTAAGTGAGCACAGAACATCCCAATTATACTGGACATTAGACATTGGTACCGGATATTTTACATTTGTATGAAATATGTAAAAGGAAAAAATATTTACTATATATAATAGAACATATTCTATGTTCATATATTACACTGCAGTTACCCTAATATTAAAACGTGAGTTTTTGAATATTTTTATTTCTCTTTGTGTCATATATAAACACACACGGGCATAAGCAGTAAGTAAATAAAATTCCGATATAGACACTCATTTGTTAATTGCTTTTATAAATAATTACTGTGTTGATAATATTTACAGGTAGTTTCCAAATAAATTTGTATAAATCTCACAAGAGAATAGTTATTATGAATGTAAAATCAATTCGAATATTTGAGAAGTTATCCATCGTTGTCAATTAATTTTGAAAAATGCATACATTGTAACCAACCTTAAAAAACTACATTCACACTTGTCTTTTGATAAAATTCTCCCACTGCGTGGAATTGTTAATTAGGAAGTTTTTAAAATTATATCAAATTGACGATGGCGAAATTGTTCGTATAAATGGGTAATTTAAACAAATGCAGGAAACCCCAGACTCTTTACTTGTCAAATCGATTATTATATTTTTTAGTTGAGAATGTTTTTTAAGTTTTTAAATGTATATTTTAATACCACTTTAGTTATTAATTTTATATTATAATACTATAGCTGATCTTAACAAAAACCATTTTCACAATATATTTGTATACAAATGCACATACAATTCAATAAATAACAATGGAGCACGTGTTTAATAAAATCTGCGTATTAAAAATTAAAAAAAAAATTAAAATAAAAACAATTAACTGTGTATAATGTGGTATATTGGTTAAGTAACAAGGAGAGTTATTTGAAATTCTGGTTAGCAATACGAGAATTGTTCAAAAAGTAACAGGAATTTAGAATTTTCCTGTCTTGTTTGATTACACAATACAAAATAAAATTTGTAGATCCTCTTAAGGGGTAAAATATTGTTGAAGAGTGAAAATCAATATTTCGAGTAGTTCACGTGATAAGCAGTGAGTATTATTTGAAAAACCAACCCAAGTCAAAAAAAAAAAAAACTTAAAACCTGATTTAAACATAAACCTTATCTAATAATTCGAACCCCCAGCTAAGGTCTTTCTTCCACCATCATAAGCTTTCAGTTATTATTTTTAATAAGTTAGACAATATTTATTGACAGCTGGTAACTTTTTTTAGTTCGTGCTCCAATTTTTGTGTCATAATTGGACCAAAAAGTCTAGTTTTTCAAAAAATGAAACGACAGTGTTGGCTTGTTTATATAAAAATATACATAGTTAGAAACTTTTGCTAGGATCTAAATAAAATTACTCCGACTTGGGATAAAAAATCCAATTTATTTGTTAATTCATGTGTACTTAAAATCCCTATAAACCCAGATCTACAAATCTATTTCGGCTGAAAATCAGACTCGACTTGGAATTGTGTATACTGATCATGAATGCATTTGTGGGTCTAGAATAGTTATTTCTATGAGTTACAAATTGATTGACCAAAATTATATGTTCTTCATATTATTGAACAAATTCACAGACAGATATCTGCGACCTAATATATTTTCGGCATTTTCAGCTCAGTTTGTGATCTCAGAAATAAAAGTATTTATATTCGGTTAACTATAAATTATACACCGCTGCCCTGATCATTACCCAGAGGGTCTGTACTGTACACTGTTTGAAATCAATGTTCTTGCAGTACATTTACTTTGCACGGGATTTCATTAATCCAGTAGTTTTAAATTTTCAATTCCATTGCATATAATGTCAAATAAATCCTCATAAAGTAGGTTAACCCGGTAAAAGTTCTAGTGTACAAAACGTCTTACGGGGGGTATATATTTAAAAAAAAAACGATATCTGTTTTTGGTTATAATCGATATGCGTTTCTGACTGACTGAAGGAAATCAGAAATCGCAGGTTAGTTTTATTTTAGTTGTAAAAAAAAACCGGTAAAATCTCCATGGTACTAACTATGCTCTTCATATCATCCGCATAAACTATTTCCGCAATGAAAAATGCGTCACTTAATATTTGTTTTCTTTTTTTATTTTTCATATGCCAATTAATGAATTTTATTTAAACTTTTCGAAATCTTGTCGTACATATTATGGTAATTGCATAAATTACTAAAATAAATATTTATTTATTTTCGATAATTACTATTCGAAGAACTGCAAAAAATACTGATCTTGAAAATTGCAAAAAGCCCCCCATCAAAAGAAAAAAACTGCCTCAAAAATCACAAACACACACAACACTTTTTTTTTGTTAATAAAACGGGTTTTTCTATTTCGACTCGGCTGACGGATTGGCAAAACCACAATTAACTGCACAACCACACTTAATCAAACCTTAACTTGAATAGTCAACAGTCAACTAGTGGGGGGTGGGGATTTCGTATTGTTTCACACGAGTCTTGTCGTTGTTGTTGCTTATTAACCGGATTCATTCTATGGTCATCCAAAATTATAGTTCATAAACTTGAATATCGAAACCTTATGAATAAACAAAAAAAAATATGTACGTGCTTGTGTGTGTGCACTCAAACTCAAGCTTATTCTCAATACTTTGTTAATATTAAATTATTTATTTTTGTAACGAATCTTCTTAGGTTCAACTCACTATTTTATGAGACGGCAGGAGGAAACGACCGATCGCTTAGACGATCTCTGAAGAACTGATTTGCGGTTGTCGTTCGAAAATGAAGTCACACAGAATCAATATGTAATTTTTTGAATCGAAGCTGCAGATATTTATTTCTCTGAAATGAAGATGAGCATTTTTATTATTTAGTTATTCATTCATTTCATTGGCATTCGTCTTCTACACGATTTAGTTCTTATTGAGCTTTTAGTAATGTATTCAACATTCTGTTGTTAACATTCGTGCACCTTATGACATATAGATGGCGCTAACGCAAAGAAAAACAGAAGTCTACAACGAGAATGGTTTCTGTGATAAAGGGCGAACAAATCATTAACCTTGTAGAAAAAAAACTGAAATTGCTTATTTTGTGTGTGTTTTATGGACATATTAAAAAAATCTCCAACTATCTAAAATTGAGGGTATCGTTATATGGTGAATATACCAAAACGTGTTTCTATATTGATAATTTTTTTTTAATTTTTATACCCTTAATTTTTATACCCTGTGGTATAGGGTATTATGTCTTTGTGAACATGTTTGTAACAGGCAAAAGGAATCGAGATAGACCCATGATTCCTTCTGAGAATATGCATAGAATTACTTTCTGAGTCGATTTACGCATGTCCGTTCGTCCGTCCATTTATTTTTGTGAACAAAGTACAGGTCGCATTTATGATCCGATTTGGATGAAATTTGGTACATGTCACTTATTTAGCCCAAGGACGAACACTATTGAAATTGGAGAAAATCGGTTCGTGTTCAGATATATCTCCCATATATAGTTTCGTCCGATTTTAGGTGAATGGTGCACCAAACTCCCAATATTGGTCCGATTGAAATAACATTTTGCACAGAGTACTGAATTAAGTCCAGATTGATTTATGCGATTTTTTGTTGGAATCGGTTCAGATTTAGATATAGCTCCCATATATATAGTTTCGTCCGATTTGAGCTAAATGGTGCACAAAACTCCCAATATTGGTCCGATTGAAACAAAATTTTGCACAGAGTACTGAATTAGGTCGAGATTGATGTATGCGATGTTTTGTTTGAATCGTTTCAGATTTAGATATAGCTTCCATATATATTTTCGTCCGATAGCGCACCGAGTAGTCTATGTTTGTTCTATATTCACGAAATTTTGTAGCGTGTATTGAATTTAGAATGATTTGGTTAAGTTTGAAATCGGTTCAGATTTAGATATAGCTCACATATATACTTTAGTCCGAAGATTGAAGACTTTTCAGGTTTAAATATAGATTCCATATATATTTTCATCCGATTTCATCAAAATGATGTACCAAATAACTAAAGTTTGTCCGCTTAGGACGAATTAGTGCACAAAGCACGAAATCGAACCTAGAATAACGTGTATTGGATTTTGTGTCGAGATAAATTTTGGATAGCGCATAGTGTTGCAGTACCAAATGGTGGATGCCAAGGTTGATCAAAGTCGTCCATTTATATTTAGATTTTATACATATTTTGCTCGATGATTAAAATTATATTTTTCATAGATTTCTGATTGTATATTTATGGGTTGTTTTAATTTAGTTCAAACACCTACAACATCACGCAGTTTTTAAATCTTTAAGTTTTTTTTTTAATTTCGTTAGATTCCATTTCAATGATCATCCAAAGATGATATGTCTCTTCTATCTAAAGGATATTGTCCATATGAGCATCTCTTGTATGTACCCAAAGTGGTGAAGGGTATCATATAGGCGGCCCCGTCCGACTTTTGAACTATCCTTACTGGTTTTATTTTAGTTTTGTTTGTAAGGGCGAGGATGACCATTGTATGATTTTTAATTGCTGGAATTAGGCTGAGAGCAAGGTCGACAACACCGACTGAAACTTTCTAAATAGTTTTTGTTTACATTGCGTATGGGCATTAGATCTTCTTAGAACGTTTTATAAAAGTTGAGTTTTAATATATTATCTGATATATTTTCTCCATTTCGAGTTTGGGAAACTTGCGTTTTCCTCCTGGGAGATACCTACGGTTGTCCAAAAAACAGACAAACGCAAAATATTGGTCCAAAATAGGCAGAAATTGCCAGAATTAGTAGAAATCAAAAAAATATTTTGTTAAAATTTGCTAAAATACAATTTACAACATTTGTGTTTTTTCTATTATTGTCCAGCCAATACTTAAAAAAGTAAAATTGTTAAGTTTTTTGTTGCCTCAGAAACCTGCTAGTGCGCCTATAGTGAGTGCATCACAGAGATGGTCCGTCAGAAACAGTGGCGTAAATGACATGCATTTCCGACGTATAATACATCGTCGGAACGTCGGAAACCCTCTCAAAACTTTGCTATTTTCATAAATCAATTTGGAAATTGTGTTTGCTTTACTTAAATCTATATAAAAATTTTAAAATTTTCTTCTCAAAAATTGATATTTTCCCGTACTGCAACAATCTCCTATTTTTCACAATTTATTTCGATATCATAAAGGAAAAATGGTTATCGTAGTAAAAAATAGTAGATTCTTGCAGTACGGTAACATACCAAATGTTTCAAATTTTTTATCAGTTCTAGTAAGGAATAGTCAGATATATGGAAAAATAATACATATTCATGGAAATAGCTGTATATGGTGATAATATTGAAATATATTACGTTTACTACATTTATTACATTTTGTACAGGTATATGACGTTTTCGACGTTTACACCTATTTGACAATAACAAAGTTTCAATTATGAAAATAAGACCAGTTCGATCCAGAGAATAGTGCTAGTTTTTAATATTTTCGAAACATACATTAAAAAATAATACAATTTCTGTTTTATATAAAAATTTGTAAAATCTTCAGCTGACAATTTAATTATTCTTAACAGGGTTTCACTAATTTGTATTATATCGCAAATACAACCCTTCAAGCATTTCGTAAATAAAAATCGGATTCCATATATTCATCACAAAAATGTTACACTTGACAGTGGATACTGAATCCAAACAAAAATTCTCATTGCGCATTCGCCGTAGTCCCTTGGCTACAGCGAGCACAGACACACACGTTCCTTCTCATATCCAACAACAAATACGAAACCTTACCATTTCCAAATATTCTTCTCAGTCGTATAGATTGTTCGCTGTCATCCAAATTCAATTTGGAACCACTGAAAACTCTTCCAACTACAAATATCCACATTCGGTGGAAAATTAATTTGAGAACTTCAATTTAATTGAAATCAATTGAAACGTTAATTTGTTTGTTCAACTCGTTGGTGTTTGCAGTTTCAATAAGAGCAGAATAGTCACCATCGTCACCATCCATCGAATCGCAGGCAGTCGAATCACAAAAGTACAAAATCGAACAAAAAAAAAAAAAAACGCATAAACAAGCATTTCAATACGAAATTCATTTATTTGTTTGTTGCGGATGATAAAAATAAACACATCGAACCAACACTAGCAGCACCCACCCTCTTACAGCGGGCACCCCTCGCAATACATCGTTCCCATTGCCTCCAGAACACCGAATCCAACACACAGAGAGCTCAACGAATTCTCATTTGCAGAGCTCATCAGTTTATATCCACTCGCAGTAAGAACTGCGGCCTCGCTATTTCCCTCCTTTTGAAATTGTAGAGAATTTTCATAATTTTTTCATTTGGTTCGATTGTGGTTATGTTTTTCCGTCTTACGTTGCAGTAACGAAATAACACCAGAACAAAGAACAAGAATCTAAACATTAAAAGGTAGTCAGTGTGTTAACCTTTGGCCCAGTCCATAGTGATATGAACAAAATGGGCATCTCTACAGACCCCGCATTACTGGACGTGGAATTGCCACGCACATTGATAGAATCACCGTCGGTGTCCACATTTCTGCCCGAGGAGGAGGCATCCATTTGTCCACTGCTGTCCTCGAATACCAATGGCTCGACGACACCGATGACATTCTCACACCCATTGACGCCGTGCATCGACAACGATAACGACAGCAATACTTCGGCGAATTTGTGTAACGAGGATGGCAAGGTCGAGACAAGTTCATCATCTGGCAGTAGCTCTGGCATTGGTATGAGTGTACCGGATGAGACCTCAGCGACCCTCTTCAATAAGCACTCCTACAAACATTTGCAAAATAATAACACATCCGCACAGGTAAATATTATGGCATTGATGCAAAAAGTTAAAACATCTATAGAAACTTGGCGAATTATTTAAGAGTCCAGAAATATATTTGTTTACAAAATATTGAAACCGTTTTGGATGATGCGCATTTATATAATGGTGTTTACATTACCAGTTACACCATTTCCAAATGCAATAACAGTCATTGGCGTCTAATACGTTTAAAATGAAAATATTGTGTAGAAGATAAATAACACAATGTGCAACAAGAATTTGTGGGATTACATGTCATCAGGCAAATCGAATGAGGAATCATTTGGAAGTTAAAAAAAACAGTTACACCATTTCCAAATGCAATAACAGCTATTGGCGATATACGCTAATAGAACTCGTTACGTTTAAAATGAAAATATTGTTTAGAGGACAAGATTTTTGGACAGATAGAAAAGTTCTGCATAGATAGAATTTTTGAATTATGGCGTCGTGCATTTTTTGCTGGTAACTCAAAACTTCGTGTAGGTTATTTGTGAGATTACATGTCATCAGTCAAATCGGATGATTAATCACATGGAATAAATTATTTTTCGACGAGTCAACAGGTTCCGCTGGTAAAACAATACCATTTGTTTATTGAAAACTTCATGTATAATGTTTTAAGGGAATAATTATTAATTTAGACTGTTTTAGGCCTGCTTTTATACTTTTTAATTTGTATTTACCGGACAAGTTCGATGTCATGGTCTCACAGGTGGTCATCAATGAAGAACAACAGGCAATAAATGCATTCGTAAGCAAGTATATTTTGAAGTTTGTCTTTTTTCCTCAACTACCGTCCTTCTGCAGCAGGATGTACGAGCATTAATTTGTTTTTTTTTTTTTTTTGCCTAGAACTATACGATAGCCAAAAAAATGTAATTAAACTACAGGTCGTCAAGTTGAATAACTTTTACTATTTCTTCACCGGGCAGGAGGTTATATAATGCTTTTAGATGTTTAAATGAACCAAGACTATATTCTGAGTAATGCAATTTTTGAATTTTGAATTTTTTACTCAGCTCGTAAAAACTTAAAATATTCTACTAGGTTCCCCATATATGGTCTGTTCCCGTACTGCAAGAATCTACTAGATTTTACTATTCCTACTTATCTAAGTAGCAAATAGAAATTATATTTTCGACAATTAAGGTATAGCATTTTTGTTGAACATATGATTGCACGAGACCAACTTCTTTATTGTACCATCAATATGACATTAGAGGAACTACGGGCAACGTGGAATACCATTTTCATTTTTTGATAAAAAATAGGAAAACATCGTTTTCACAATATAATAGATATGTTATATATATATATAGTTAATGCAATAACGTAAAAAAAACTACAAAATAAATAATATGGCGGGCAGTGTGGTCCAGAATATGCGGGTAATGTGGACAAGTTAGTTAAAAATCAGATTGTGGATTGCTTGTGATAAATTTATAATTATTTAAATTTTTGGTAACAATGAAAGCTAAAATATACGGGTTAATATTTAGGAAAAGCTCCCATTTAAGGGTATCACCCCATTTGCGGTATTTTGAAGGTCCTAGCTTCACCATCTAACCGAAGCGGCTATAATCGAGCATATCGAGTTTTTAGAGGGTAAAATACCTTCTCGCAGAAATGTTTTTAATATGGGCCCATTTTTTCGAACTAGTCCCCATGAAACTATACCGTTCTTTATAGTGGGCCGTCCACATTACCCGATAATTTTCGGCTTAAAAAGTAAATAAAAGTAAAAAATCACCAATTGTCATTACAGCTAGACGTACACTTGTTGTGGAAAATAAAGAACCAGATAACTTCTTTATAATTGAGGAAAACAAATTGTTTGACTCTTGTGCTAAAAAAAATGTTGAAATCCCAGTTTTCAATAAGAGCTTAACTAAATTTTCAAATTATGTATTCAAAATCATGTTAGATGTTTATTTTCACCTATTAGGAAAACATATATCAAGGCGGCATTGTCATATTTTATACAATTTCTAAGATGTGGTCCACATTAGACGCATAGTCCACATTATCCGAAGTTTCTCTAAACACTCAAAATTTTCAAATAGGGTATTTTACGATATCATAGCAACAGGACCGAAGAAATGTTAAACGTTTCATTCTTCTATAGAATATAGTTTTGAAATCCGACCTTTGATTTTCTGTACATTACTGTTTTTCATTCAATAGACACTTAGGTGCGCTTTAAATATTAAAATGCCTCTGTAATGAGAAACACCACCTGCATGTTTTTCGTCAAATTTATTTTACAAAATGAATTTTGACAAGTTTTTACAGCCTTGAGTGCAGTCACAACCCTAACAATAGTTATCCAAACCAACTGTAGGGTGATAATTCCATTGTTGTAAAATTCCTCTAACTTTAGCCAAAGCTTTTCAGAGGTGTGAAATGTTTATATTTATACAAGACGCGTCTCGTTCGTTCGTTCGTTCTGCAGACACATACATACATTTACCGCATTTGCGTTCGATTAACGTTTCTATCGAGTCCACTATTGAAGAAAGCTGCAATTAGCATCATCAAGTTTAATAGCCAAACAACTGAAAGATAGGTCGGACGACAAACGAATTCAATTAAAAAAATATCTTGGAATCCCAAAATATGGTTAATCACAACTCTTCTCTTCAAAATCTTCCATTGGCATTATTTACAACCACCTGATCTCTTTTATTCTGTTATTTTAGGATTCAAATGGTCATGGACCCAATGGCAACATACCGCTTGGCAAAGACACACCGTCGTTTGTATCGTGGAATTGGCCTCTTATACGGAAATGTACGTTTTTTGTTTTCATGTCCAGTTTGCTGGCCATGTGCGCCGTGGTGGTGGCCATGATTGTTACTCTGCCAAAAACCTGTAATCCAAAGTGAGTCTCTGTATGAATTTAAAATTTATAATTTCTCATGTTACTGACTGTCTGATTGATTTGCATTTTAGGACAATGTGGTACCGTGGCAGTGTCTTTTATGAAATATTTCCTGCCAGTTTTCAAGATTCCGACAACGATGGCATTGGAGATTTGCGCGGCATTGCCAAACGCAGTGACTACCTCAAGTCACTGGGAGTTTCGGCAATACGTCTGAATTCAATATTTCCTTCAACTCATTATCCTGAAGATTTCGTGAATATAACTAGCCTTACAGAGGTCTCCAAAGTTTTGGGAGCAGTAGACGATGTACAACAACTGAGCCAGGCTCTACATTTGCGCAACATGTCACTTGTTTTGGACTTACCCTTGTATCCCTTTTTAAAAGAGTTGGGAAAATCCGATGGGGCTAGTGCGGTGAAGGTTTTGGCCAGCACGGCATTGAACATATCCGAAGAGGTTGTTGTGACAACGACCACTCCTAGACCAGTGATCACAACGAATGTAATTACCCAAGCATTGCAGCATTGGATAAAATTCGGCGTCGATGGTTTCTATATAAAGGGTCTGGAGAATTTTGTAGAATTGGAAGACATTGATTACCACATGGCAGAATGGAAGGATATCCTAGGTGAAAGTCGAGTCCTCATTATAAACGAAGAAGTATTGCATAAAGTCGAGGAACCCCAACGAAGCAACCTCCTGAAACACGTCGATCTTGTGGATGTACACTTGAATGTTTTCAATGGCGCCCAAAGTTTGGAAGAACGCATCAATAGAGTACTTACCTCTGAAATTGCTCCTGCTGATCCCGGAGTATGGGTTCAGTGGTCTATCGCCGGTGTGGACCAAGCCCGTCTGACACGCGATGGTTTGAATTCTAATTTTACACTGACTGCCCTCCTAATGCAACTCATGCTACCTGGAACACCAAATATTTTCTATGGCGATGAAATTGGTCTGCAGGCCGCAAAAGATCAGCTCAATGAACACAACGAGACCAAACACCTACATCATTTGTCCACCATGCAGTGGCCTGAGAATTCTACCCAGCAATTCACAAATCGTGAAACCCTACCATGGCTGCCCAAAGCACCGGCAGCGAATTTCGATTATTTACCGGTTGTCTCTCGCATGATTCAGCTACGTGATCGCTCCCCTTCGATCTACAAAAATGCAATCTGTAAGACGGAAACGGTCTTGCCCAACACCGCAATTAGACGAAGTGACGACGACATACTAATCATCGAGAGAATATATCCTCGCCGCAATGCGTTTGCTTCAATCTCGAACTTTGGCCAAAAACGACTAACCTTAGACATGTCATCGAACTTCTACAGTGGTGTCGCGATGTTGCACGACAGCAGTGAAAAGATATATTTCAGTGACTTCCAGATTGGACCTGCCGAAAGTATCATTGTTCGACTGGATAAATAAGATGGTATGGCATGGAGCCAACAAACCAACATGCTCCCTCACTATCCACCGTAAACCGTACATAATTTTTATTAAATCTAATGATTTGTTATATTGCATAAATTTTTATTATCAAATAAATGTTGTACTTTAATAAAAAAAATAGATCATTTTAAATGTAGTATTTGGACGAGATAAATGGATGCGCAGTGAAAACAAATATTTTGAGAAAAATAAGTCGCGAGTTATCAGGTAGTAGAAAGGATATCAGGTAGTAGAAAGGTGATTTCCCAAAAATTATTTTATACCCAATATCACCTTGCCATCACATGAAGCAGTAAAATTGACAAGGGACCATTTATGTTGGGAATACTGAATAATATCGTTACCATTTCAAAATGTACTAACATAAGTGGTCCTTGTGTTGAGTAAAAAGATAACATGGAAACGGACTATACGATTTTAACGAAACTTTGTACAAGATGGGACCCATTGGTCCACTCCTTCTGGTACCTCCCCACACAGAGTCAAAATTTCCAATACTTATAAATCCAATATCAGGCTAATGGAATGTCCGATTTAAACAAACTTTGCTCAACTTATTACCTTTACCAAGCCTAGATTAAGTTTGAAGTAAAACCCATTGATTCACTCCTTCTGGTACCTCCCCCAGAGAGGGTAAACATTTTCAATATTTATAAATCCAATATCAGGATTTATAAATATTGAGTTATCGTAAGTTACTGAAATTTGGTACATGTGCTTGGCCTAAAGATCAACTGACAAAAAATTGGGTAGGTCGAACTAAGATTTGGTATACCTCCCATATAATAGGTCTTGAAAATGTCACCCTTTTTGGCCTATAAAATCTTTAATATTCAAACAATTCAATGAAAATTGGCAATTTACATTTAATTAGGCCTATAAAGCAACTGACCAAAAACTGGGTAAATCGGACCAAGATTTCATATACCTCCCATACAAAGGGTCTTGAACATTTTACTATTTTGGGCTATAAAATCTTTAATATTCAACCAAATTCAATGAAAATTGGCAATTTACATTTACTCATGTCTATAAAGCAACGGTCCAAAAACTGGGTAGACCAGACCAAGATTTGATATACCTCCCATACAAAGGGTCTTGAAAATCCGATTTTTTGACCTATAAATTGTTTATATTCATCCAAATTCCACGAAAAATTTCATGTCTTCGTCCATATTACATCAAATTTGGGCGAATACAGTAATAGGTGTTGTAATTTAGTTGTTGGACCATATTTCAGATACCTACCATATCAAAAGTCCCTAAAAATTTAACTTTCTGTACTATAAAATCGTTATATGCAGCTAAATTAAGTATAGTAGTTTTATTTTTGTTATTTTTATTATAATACTAGCAGATCCGGCAAACATTGTTTTGCCTTATCAAAATTGCATCAATTTAGGTTTCTCCACCAAACAATTTTCAGGAGAAGATCAAGTTTTGATCTAATTACTCTCACCTCAAAAGATAATTTAGTATGGATGGCGTAATTACTATTCCCAATTTGATCACATACGATTCATACGTCCTTGGAATCATTAAAGTTGGTGCAGACGTTCTCGAGTTACTAAAGGTGTAGGTAACACAACATTCGATTACTTCAATCTCCGACTTTTTTATGTTTTTCTCAACATTTTCTTTGGCAAAACTCTTCCCACAGCAATTAAAAATAACCGTAGGAAAATGTGAGTCAAATTGGTGCAGTCGTACTCAATGGAAACATTTTTTACATCATGAAAAATATATTTGAGGAACGATAAAGGCACATAGAAGTTAGACACCTAGAGCATCTAATGCTCAATTATCTCCATGTAGGATTCGAATTTAGATATATATACTTCCCAAATCTCTACACATATATATATATATATATATATATAAATTACGTGTAAACTCAAAAACTACTGCACCTTTGGGATGTGAGGAGTGTGTCTGCGTAGTTCGAAGTTCGTCCGACGGGTGGCGCAATATTTAGTTTTTTTGTGTTTTTCATCGTAACTCAAGAACTACTACACCGATTTTGACCAAACTTTATGTATATGCTAAATATTGCGCCATCTGTCAGATGAACTTCAAACTACACAGAAACACTCTTCATGCCCCATAGAGGCTGTATATACAATTTGGTAAAAATCGGTGCAGTAGTTTTTAAGTTTAGCGATCACGAACAAACTCGTAATTTTTATATATATGAGATAAAAAATATTTGATATCATTTAATAACTATTAAATTACTTTTTTATCATTCACAACATTTTCAAAACACGCATCAGATATATATATATATATATATATATATAAAATATTGTCTTCCCAAATGTACGATTTAGTATCATCCACATTATAATCTCGGGCCTTTGCTTTATGGCTGTTTAAGGATATTACAAGGTCGGTTTGTAATATAAAATACTAAATAAAATCCTTATTTAACTCGGCTTTAACATAAGTTCGGGCTGCTACTAATTATTTGTTGGCATGACTTGTTAGCATCTTGTGAAAGTCGCTCAAAAGGTATTGTACTGCATATTGCGTATCCCATGCCATGAACAAATATTTTTCTGTATGAACTTTCCACAAAGGTAATTCATGTGCGACCTCTAAATTAATATTATAGGATTATGTCTCAAATGATCAGTCTTCAAACTGACTGAAAATTTATTTAAAATCTATATTTTAAAACTAATTCTCCCATATCTCCGCTTCGAATAACGTTTTTACCACTTAATTGCATATTTTATGTAAAATATTGTATTATTACTATGTTCTGAATCCATTTTCTCCTTCCTATTTGACCCTCAACAACTTATTTAATTGTATACATAACATATTTGACCATTCGCTTCTAAGCATTTCGTGAGGTGGTCACCAAAAAAGTTAAATAACTCTTAGGACCGCAGGACTCCGCAGCTAATTTTTTATTCCTTAAATAACACACTTTTCACCACTCAAATTAAAAAAAAAAATAGAGCTAACCTTTTTAAAACTTTTTTTTTCTGCTCCACTAATTTCAAAATTTGTTTTACAAATTTGATGAACTAAGTACTACAAGTGTGGACGACTGTATACACCATATGATATCTATATAAATACAAACTAAAGTGAATCCTAGTTTTTACATCCACAGCAACCAAAATAAACACTTTTATAATAACCGTTAATTTGAATATTCAAATATTTGAGCATCAGAAAAACACACCCATTTTTCGAAAATATGGTAAAAAATCAGTTTATAAATAATTATCAGATTTGAACCTTTGTAGAGACAAAACTACTCGACATATCGATGTAAAATTTCATATTTATTATAATTGGAGTATTTTCTATCAATCCTCATCAAAAAATTTGTCCTCCGTGGTACTTGGTTTTGACCATTTTTGGCCGCGGTCATGACACTGTGCAACGTGGGCGCATATTAAAAACATTTCTGCGAGGAGGTATTCTATCCTCTGAAAACTAGATATGCGAAATTCAGCTGCTTCGGTTGGATAGTGAAGCCCCCACAAATATGGGGTACCCAAAATATGAACCCATATATTTTTGCATTCATTGTTACCCAAGATTGCAATTAATTGAAATTTATCACAAACAATCCACAACGTACCTTTTAACTTACTGGTCCACATTACCCACACATACTGGTCCACATTACCCGCCAAATTATTTTTATTCGCAGTTTTGAGTTTTTTGGGCATCCACCACGGAATCATGAAAGAGGGACAACTAGGTTGAAAACGAGTCCAAAACCCTTTTGATAACAAAAATTAGGGGGTTCCATCATATGGGGGCTATACCATATCATGGTAATTTTTTAGTACTGCAGCATGCCTTTATATGGGAGCATCCAATATTTATACTTTTTGGTAGAGAGATTTTTTACCTAAAATATAAATCAAAATCCAAGTTGGTTGAAAAAGTGTCTACCCAAAAACCGAATATTTAGAAACGTTATGTGAATGGCCAGTAAAACCATGTCAGCTCTAATAATTTATATATTATAGACCATGGTACAATTATAGAAGGTAACTGCAATACCCAGCTGATTTGATTGTATAGTAATACTCTTGTCAATTTCGATATGACATATCTGATTTATGTAGAACGACTGAGCAGGAAAATTTTGTTCACATTATATTTGAATTAAGTAATTTGAGCTTTACAATATATAGGAACCTGGAAAAAATACAACACCATTTTGTAAAATGTTTCAGATTTATGTATCTTTGCTATATTGTCAAATCTGCAGAATATGGAAAAATATAGTATCGGCATTTAATTTTGTTCTGAATTCGTTTTACAACAATGAATTAAATTAATTTTAAATAGTACTAATCGGCCATTAACAATTATTTTCAAATCAAAGAAATCGCAACAGAAGTTCGTTGCCATTTGGTTTACAATTTACTTCAATTTCCTGATGGAAAAAATTTAAACAGCAAATACTTTTGAAAGGAAAAAATTCAATTTTTTGTGTAAGTTACCTCTACATATGTATGACAAAACTCATTTGAAGGAAAGATCTGGAAGAATTATAAATTTGCTAGATTCTCATTCACGTTTTTATTTTATTCTGAAAATTCAAAAATATTATATTTTTAAAATAAATCAAATTTATTTATATTTTGTATCAAGGTTTATTTGTTAACATTTTCCTACATATCAAATTGACACTACCCAGTAGTTCGAGGAACTGGTGATTAACTAGTAATTTTACTACTTACCTGTAACTACCACTAGTTACCACATCATGCCCTAGACTGGTGAATTTAACATGGGGATGTCATTGGAGAAGTCAATTGTCCCCTGCCTGCGTTACCAGTAACCAGCCATTTAGGTAGTCAAAAAACCAGTAAGGAAAGTAGTAAAATCGGACGGGGCTGACTATATGATACCCTTCACCACTTTGGGTATATTCAACAGATGAATCCTAACAGACGTCGCATTTTTAAAAGACCAGTAAAATGAAATTGGATACATAA